CTGCCAGCCCCATGATTCTATCTCTTTATATTTTCGCTAAGATCTTCCTCTAAATGAGCAATGATCATTCCTCTATCTTATACCTCTACCCTATCCTGTTTTACTGGTATGTGATTATAAACATGCTCCCTGTCTCTCTCTTCAAAAACATAGTAAAATCAAACAAAAACTTACCCTGACTCTATTAGTTATTACCTTAGCTCACTTCTGGTTTCTGCCATGATTCATTTGTTTTATACAATTGTTTACTTATTTATTCACTTATTATTATTATTCAATTTGCTATAGGTTATGAGCACTCACCAGAGAAAGAGAGATAGAGGGAAAGTGATAAAGGAAGCCATCATGTCTGGAATTCAAACTACAGCCAGCCTTGTGAGAATTCAGTGCATTAACACCATACCACCTGCTGGCCCCATCTACCATGATTCTTAAAATAGTCTTCATTGACAATCTATTTTCTTATTTTTTTTATTCACTGTAACATATCTACGGCATTCCTACAACTCTGCTGAAATTATACCACCAAAGCCACTAACAATCTCTATGGTCAAGTTTAACAACACTCTTCATCCTTATCTTTCAGGACCTTTCCACTGCATTTTTACATTATTGATCACTTTCTTGACACACTTAAATTATTTGGTTTTTATGACACTATTCTCATATTTCTCCTACCTCTAAAATTATTTTTGCTATCTCATACTAAATATTAATTTCCCAAGTTTTCATTTATGAACCAATCCCTTTTCCTTTCTGTGTTCTCACTAGGCAGCCAAGAAGTTCATTAAGGGCTGGCCTCATGGTGTAGTGATGACGTTCTCCTCAGGAGAGGTCAGCTCCCACATGGTAACCATATACTGGATCACTGGTCCTCAGCCTGAAACACACCAGCACATACGTGAGTGCCCAGAATCTGATGGGCTGGAGGAAGATCTGTGTGATCAAACCTGGAGGGTGCTCCCCACCCCCTCTCTTGTGAGCATATGTATGAATACACAGGCTCTATCATGAATACAGGGGGAAAAAAAAAGACATTTAAAAACCAAACCAAACCAAACCCTAAAGACTTACGGCTTTATGCTTCTAAATTATACTATATGCTGATGACTTCCAAATTTCTAGCACTGATTTTTTTTTTTTTCTATAGGTGCATATGTTTGTCAGAGAGAAAGAAAGAGAGAAAGCATCCCCAGGATGACCATGCCACAATCCTTTCTCCTCCATTTTCTTCTCAAGATTTTTGGCATGCATGCACATGCCTCGTGAGTTTTTCAAGCCACTGCATAAGGGACTTGGACTGTGGAGTTGGCTATGTGGGAACGAGCACCTACCACCATGCCACCTGCTGGCCCTGATCTCTTTTCTTGAGCTGTGCACTCATATCCAGCTAGCAGTAAAAATCCTTTACTTGATTTCAATAGTCACTTCAAAGTCAATAAATTCCAAGCTAAACACATTATATTCTCTCTTAAAGTGGCTCCTTTTCCTTACCTTCTCTCTTGGCATAAAGCCATCTATCCACTCATCTAGTCAAGAAATCTCACTCATTTTTGATTCTCCTCTCACTATGTGTCACCCTTATGTAAGTTGAAACACTCAGATTGTCAATTTACTCTCTTAAAACATTAATTAAATGAATTAATCTTTACTACTTCTACACTAATCCAGAATCTCATAATTTTTTACCTGTAGTTCTCTCTAATAACTCCTTATCTAATGCTATGATACTAATCCTGGTCCCTCAATCTTTCTCCATAAAGCAGTCAGATAATCCTATATCCAAATCTGATCATTTCTCTACCCTTCTTGAAACAGTTTTGCATGGGAACCAGCAGTTAGAGAAATGGCTATGTCGCTGGACTCCCACGTAGTCAACCGTGGTTTGCATCCCACACCTGGTGGCTTAAAACTCATGCTGGGCGTGTGTGCGTGCATGCCCAAGATCCCGAGAGGAGAAGGGATTGCGGCGTGACCATCTTCCCTGGGGGGTGATTTCTCACTTTGTCTCTAATGTCTCTGTCTGTCTGGCGAGCGCATGCGCCCTATAGCAAAAATCTCTCTCTCAAAAAAAAAAAAAAAAAAAAACCAACCCAGTTTTGCAACCAACATAAAAATCTCTTCACCATGACATACAATAACTTCTTTGACTTGGTTTGTACTGACCACTGCTTGACACTTATTGAACAGAACTTCATACTTCTGAATACCAAACAGCTTTTGGTTTTCTGCATATCCCATACTGTATCATGTCATTGTGCCTTTGCACATTTCCTGTGACCTTACCCCTTTTTTCACTTGGCTCTCGCTCAGCCTTCATACTCAGCTGGAACATTAACTTCTCTACAAAATCCTCTCCTAAGTCCCCCAGGTGGATAAAAGCTGTTCATTACTACTTCCACAGAATTATCTTTATCTCATTAACACTATGTATTATAATTACCTATTTATATATTTGTCTCCTTTACTAAATTTTTATTTATTTATTTATTTCGGAGAGGTTTTTGCTATAGGGCACTTGCACTCACCAGAGACAGATAGAGACAGAAAGTGAGAAATCACCCTCCAGGGAGAATGGCCACACCGCAATCCCTTCTCCTCCATTCTCGGGATCTTGGACACGCACGTTCACATGCCCAGTGAGAAATTTAAGCTACCGGGTCCCATGGTCGACTACATGGTAGTCCAGTGACATAGCCATTACGCCAACTGCTGGTCCCACTACTAAATTATAAACTTGTTGAAGGTTCATTATCTAGCGATGTGTCAGATGCACAAGTGATCAATATTTTTGTAGAATTAAACTGAATGATCATTAAGGTTGGTTTCAATTTTTCCAGAGTTACAAACAATGCTGCAAATAAACAGCTTTGTCCAAATAGCATGTCAACGTATAAATGTTACTTACACAGTGCCCTGAATCAGGAGGTGGCAAACTAAAGGTCATGGGCTGAGTTCAGTCCACTAGTTATTTCTGTCAATAAAGTTTTATTTTAATATATCTACGGTCACTCATTTATGTATACCATCCATGTCTACTCTCACATTCCAGTTGCACAGCTGAGTAGATATGACAAAGACCATATGGTCCACCAAGTCTAAAATATTTAGTATTTGGCTGTTTATAGAAAAATTCTGACAACTTGAGCTCTAAATGATTAGAAAAAAGTTTCTTTTCTTTTTTTTTCTTTCTTTTCTGGGAGAGATTTTCATTATAGGGCGTGTACGCTCACCAGACAGACAGAGACATAGAGACAGAAAGCGAGAAATCACCCCTGAGGGGGATGGTCACGCCGCAATCCCTTCTCCTCCATTCTCCTCTCGGGATCTTGGGCACACATGCACATGCACCCGGCATGTGTTTTAAGCCACCGGGTTCAGGACGTGAACCACGGTCGACTACTTGGGAGTCCAGCGACATAGCCATTACGCTAACTGCTGGTTTCTTAGAAAAAAACTTTTTAAAAAGAATTATTTTATTTAGGGACCAGCAGTTGGTGTAATGGCTATGTTGCTGGACTCCCATGTAGTCGACCACAGTTCGAGTTCCAGACTTGGCTTAAACTCATGCCAGGCATGTGTGAGTACATGCCCAAGATCCTGAGGGGAGAATGGAGGAGAAGAGATTGTGGTGTGGCCACCCCCCCGGGGGGAGGGTGATTTTTCATTTTCTGTCTCTCTGTCTCTGTCTTTCTGGCAAGCGCATGGGCCCGAGAGCAAAAACTTCTCCAAAAAGACAACAAAAACAAAATAATTTTTTATTTAACCTTATTTATTTATTTTAATTTGACCAGAGAGGGACAGAGAAGGAGAGATACAGCAAGCAAGTGAGATAGAGAGAGAGAGAGAGAGCACGTGAGGAGGGAGGAAAAATGAGAAAGCAAGCCACCAGGTCTGGAACTCGAACCATGGTTGGCCATGTAGGAGTGCAGTGCCCTTAACCACCACACTAACTGCTGGCCCCAGAAAAAGTTTGTACTATTGTCTTTATAATTTTTTTTACACTGGGGCCAGCAGGTAGCATGGTGGTGAAGGCACTGGACTCCCACATGATGGACAGTGGTTTGAGTCTTGGACCTAGAGGACTGTCGACTTACTTTCCATTTCTCTTTCTGACCGGTCAAATTAAAAAATAAATAGTTGGAACCAGCAGTTAGCCTAATGGCTATGTTGCTGGACTCCCATGTAGTCGACCGCAGTTCGCGTCCCGGACCTGGTGGCTTAAAACCCACACCGGGCGCGTGTGCGTGCATGCCCAAGATCCCGAGAGGAGAATGGAGGAGAAGGGATTGCGGCGTGACCATCCCCCCTGGGAGGGTGATTTCTCGCTTTCTGTCTCTCTGTCTGTCTCTGTCTGGCGAGTGCACGTGCCCTATAGTGAAAAACCTCTCAAAAAATAAATAAATAAATAGTTAACAACAAATAAAATTAAATAATTCATTAAAAGTCTTTACACTAAAGAAAATACATTTGCACATCAGGTCTACAATTTATATCAGTATCCTATTTTTTCTCAATCATTTGGTGGTTCTTCTGATAGTTTCCATTCAAAGATAATCTTGTTTCTAGTCTGCCCTTATTACATACGTCCAGCTCTCTTCTTTAGTGTCTTCTAATACAGCTAACAGAAGTAAATCACCTCTGATCTGGTTTGACACATCACGCGCACACACACACACACACACACACACACACACATATATATTTCCAGAAAGAAATTGAAAAAAAAAAAAGACTTAAAAATGGAAAAACAAGTAACGAGTAACTAGAGTATAAAGTGTGCATGCTTGGGGTTTGGTAAATAATTGAAATTATTATAGAAAATGCTTGATGATATGATTAAGACAACAACATTAGTATTTCAGGAAGAAAAGGAAAAAAAGAAGCAAACAAAGAAAAGCGAAAAGGAAAATAAAACTATTTTTAAAGTATTGAAAATTAGCACATTTTAAAAGTATAAAATCTGTTAGCATCTCTTTTTTAAGAAAGCCTCTATTTACCTATCCAAACAGGCAAAGAGTCCAGATTTTCCTCCTACCGCACAAAGTACTTTGGGAGCACAGCGAGGTCGTGTCATCAAGACTGTCTGATGAGAGAGTCTATGTTCGGGCATAAAGTGGTACTTCAGGGCTTCATTCAAAAGATGTTTACAAGTGCGATCATCACGGATAAGATGATTTGCTTCATATAGTCTTGTGAGGAACTTAACACTCAGTAATGGTAATCGTACACTGTTTAGTAGCTGTGCTAAGTATTTCTGACGTTCTTGTACATCATACTTGATCCAAGACTCTAATGCATAAAAAACAGTCTCTTCGGTAGCTACATTCAAACAATCATTTGAAACAATTTCATCCAAATCAGCATGTGTAAGCTCAAAAAACTCTTCTGTCTGGCAAACAGCTTCAAAATTCTGACATATATATTTAGTGGCTGCCAAATAAAGATCACGACAACCATAGGTCTCTGCAAAACGAGAAATTCCAATACAGTTACCAGGATCGAGTTGGCTTTCAAGAAAAGCACAACATTCTTTAAGTACAAGTTTTATTTGGAGTAAGTTTGCTGCTGGAAGGAGAGATTCAACTGTGTCCTGAGAAATAAAAACAGTCCCTGTGTAGGCATACTCCACAATGGCCTGGAGGGCAGTTTCATCAATGCACTGAAATTCAACCTCACTGTTCTCTTTTTCAGAAAGGTTTCCAGTGAACATAGCTTTGAAATATGGGCTGATGCTGGCAAGTACCACCTTGTGAGCATGAATTTTAACATCACCTACTCGAAGAATGATGTCACAGAGTTCGTGATGCTGACGAAGAAGATTCAAGCCCTGCAGAAGTTGTTCAGAATGTAAGTGGGTTAAGTTAGCAAGCATGTAGGTCGGGGATGTGTGGTCCATCTAGAGAAAAACAAAGACAGACAGTTATTTCAAAATAATCTTGCCGATGTGACTCCATTTTTTAAATAGTACAGAATAAATCAGACTTGCTATTTATTTGCCTGTTTATTCATTTTTAAATAGTTCACGCTAAACATAGAAGGGAAGCTTTTAGAGTTAGAAGGAATTTAAGTCATAACATTTAACTCCTTTATCATAGATATTAGGAAATAAGGCCCAGACAGTTACATGTGGGTCCCAAACGATAATGGTCTCTGGACAACAGACTTTTGAACCAAAACTCTGTCAACTCTTTCATCCTGCTTTCTTTCATTAAATTTAAGTCTCAAGTTTTACTGAAACAAAATGCAAACATGGAGGGGGGGGGATGCCTTGCTTAATGTATTTTCTCAGTAATACCAATGCCTGCCAATCAGCAGATGTTTAATTAGGAAAAAAAACTGTTACCTCAATTACTTTAGCCAGAACTTTAATAACTGCTTTAATAAATAGTGCTAAATTTAACAAAGGTAGCATTCCCATCAATTAATTCAACAATGGCAATAAAACTACTTTGAACAGATCCAATGTTCTACAATGAGAGCAGTTAAAGCTCACTTATTGATCTGTACCACAGTCACTCAACTCTTTATCATAAATGCAGATCATACACACACAATCTAGTTGCCTTTTGTGCTTTTGGAAGATGAAAAAGAATCAAAATAGGAGAGAAGAAAGAGATGAAAAAGAAAATAAGTGGAAAAGAGCTGTGGTGGACTGAATAATGGCTCCGCAAACTACACTCATACCCTAAATCCTGAAACATGTGAAAGTTACATTACACAGCAAAAAAGGACTTTGCAGATGTGAATATGGATTTTGAGATGGGAAGATTATCCTAGATTTTAGGTAGGGCCTAAATATAAACAACATGTATCTTATAGGAACACAGAGGGAGATTTGATACAAATGAGGAGAAGGCCCAACGACTACAAAGGCAGAGACAGAGTGCTACAGCCAGAAATCAAGGAGTGCTGGCAGCCTCTAGAAGCTAGAAGAGTCAGGTACAGATATTCCCCTAGAGCCTCCAAGAAAGAGCAGGACCCTGCTACCTTAATTTTAGCTCACTGACACTCTTTTCAGATTTTGAGCTTCCAGAATGATTAAGAGGTTAAGTAACTTTGTTGTTTTAAGCAACTGAGTTTGTGGTAATTTGTTACAGTAGCTGTAAGAAATTAACCACATGGTGTGTAATCCGTTACTGTGTTGCCAAGAAGAAATACCAGAGACTGGGTGATTTATAAAGAATAGAAGTTTATTTGACTCAATTCTGGTAGACGGAAAGTCTCAAGGCATAAGGCTAGAATCTGGCTAGTCTTTGCTACATCACAACAGAGCACAAAGCAGAAAGGACAGCCAAGGAATGCAAAGATAAGGCAATTTGTGGGAAGCCATCTTACTTTTAAAGCAACTTGCTCTTACAAGTTCCAAAAGAGTTAAGAACTCAACTCTCTCCCACGAGATGTCAGTAATCTGTGCACAAGGGTGGTGGTTCCATGATACAAACTCTGTTCAATGGGCCCACCTCTAAAGATTCCACCTCTCAACACCATTACATTGGGGACCAGGCTTCCAGCACATGGGCCTTTGGGGGACAAACCATATCCAAATGATAGTACATGGATATGGATATTTCAGAATGAACCAGAGCAGTTGCTTAGGGGAAAAAAAAAAAAAAGAAAGAAAAGAAACAAAAAACCATTTATACAATATGAACTGTTTCACCCTTGTCTTATTCCTATTTCAAACATATGTTACGGGGGGGGGGGTAACAAAAAAGTGAAGGATTTGGTTCTTAAATGCATTATCAAATTAATCCACACATTTTGAACACATAAATACAGTAGGACTAGGAGAGTAAAGTACTTCTTTCCTGGGCATTTTTAAGTGGAAAAATCCAAATGCTGAAACTTTGAATTTCATCGATTCTCAACTATTTCACACCGAATTTTATTTTAGTTTTAAAAAATTATGTTAAGATAGTCATATTTCAGTTGATGTCAACCTCCACTTCTGATCTCTCCAAATACTGGGTTGTCAGAAAAGTCATAATGAATTTTTTCGTTTCTCTATGCCAAAATGTATTACGACTTTTCTGACAACCCAATAATTCTACATACATCTAACAGAGTAATTCTCAAGTACTATTTCAATCATGGAAGAACAAGTTTCAAGGTACTTGAGTCTTTCAATAAGTACTTTCTTCTAGCACAGACTATGGATAAGATGATATTAAGCAGAAGGCACAAGTTAAGATATGGATATGTTGTGTTGCATTTGTTACAGTGTTGACTTTTTAAAAATCTATCTACTTCTAGGCTCATTTTTTAAGAAAGTTAGTATCTACACTGAAACACTCTTTTCTTTTTGGAGAGGTTTTTGCTATAGGGCACGTGCACTCAACAGAAAGAGAGAAACAGTGAGACAGAAAGTGAGAAATTGCCCCCAGGGGGATGGTCATGCCACAATCCCTTCTCTTCCTTTCTCCTCTTAGGCTCTTGGCACGCGCCTGGCGTGAGTTTAAGCCACTGGGTCCGGGACTTGAACTGCGATCAACTACATGGGAGTCCAGCGACACAGCCATTATGCTATCTGCTAGTCCCTGAAAAGTCCTTTATTTTCATAAACAGGAAAGGTAAGTAGATACAAAAAATTGGTGATGAGGTTAAGAAAGTAGTTCCAGCTACTTTACATCTAGTTAACTTTATCTTCTCTCAACTTCATTTTACATCCAAAATAAGATCACCTGGACTATATACGTCACAGCGTTTTTGAGACTATGATAAGGTAATATACATGAAAACATAACAAACTGGGGACCAGCAGTTAGCGTAATGGCTATGTCACTGGACTCCCACGTAGTCGACCGCGGTTCAAGTCCCAGACCCGGTGGCTTAAACTCACGCCGGGCGTGTGTGTGTGCATGCCCAAGATCCTGAGAGGAGAATGGAGGAGAAGGGATTGCGGCGTGGCCATCCCCACTGGGGGGGGGGGATTTCCTGCTTTCTGTCTCTCTGTCTCTCTCTGTCTGTCTGGTGAGCGCACGTGCCCTATAGCAAAAATCTCTTAAAAAAAAAAAAAAAACATAACTGTAAGAATTATAAGTGTAGGAAAACATAACCATAATAATTATAATTGCAGGATAGTACCATGAATCAACAGAGGTTTAAGAGTATCAGTAAAGAACACAGACTATGGAGATATAAAATAGGAAGTTTTAATTCAGAGTCATGTATTATTACATGGAATGGTTATATTTACTAATCTAAGTACTAATTCATTCATTTTAATTCATAAAATAAAATTACTCCCACCTATTTCCAGATTACATGAAAGTGATAAAGCATAAAGTTCTATACAATTTCAAATACTAATAAGAACGCCTAAGTCTCACTTTATTAAACTATCTGTTCCCATAATCTTTTTTCACTAACTCCTATTCTTTCCCACAATGACCTTTCCTGTAATAACACTTGTGCAACTACTATAACTCTATTTTCTCTTCATAAGCCAGATTATTATCTGCAACCTTCCCCCTCTCTCATCTTCCTTTCCTTTGATTTAAATTTTCCAAAACTCTAGGTCAAGATTAACTTTATTTGGAAGTCTATAAAGCATCTATGTGTTCTGTTTTGTTACATGTAACTAATTATAGGTATTGTTTTACAAAACATACTGCTTTGTCTCTCATCTGTCTGATTAAACAAGAGTGATAATCAGACTGAAAAGTGAAGAATGGACAACTGAAAAGGTGAATGAATATGGAAAATAGGAGAAGGGGTTGAAAAAGGACAGCTAGTTGGGGCTAATAGATGGCGTGCCAGGGACATCGCTGGACTCCCATAGAGCTGACCGTGATATGAGTCCCGGACTTGGTGGCTTGAAAATCATGCCTGGCACCTGTGCATATGTGCCTAAGATCCCAAGAGGAGAATAGAGGAGAAGGGATTGTGGTGTGGCCATCTTCCCTGGGAAGTGATTTCTAATTTTTCCTCTCACTGTCTCCATCACTCTCTGTGAGCACATGCACCCTCCCTAAGGCAAAACTCTCACAAAGTGAATAAAATAAAATAAAATAAAATGGAAAAGGACATCTAGCTACTATCTCAGACTAAATAATTATGTCCTGAGATATTCAAAACAGCTTGGAAATGAGATTCCCTGAATCACTTCCAGTATATAAAACTTGCGACCATTTTCAAAAATAAGTTCTATAGCCTAGTAAAATTCATTGTTAGTTTCACCTAACTTTAATAATTTTCAGGGGGGGCCAGCAGGTGGTGTGGTGGTTAAAGGTGCCGGATTCCCATGTGGCCAGCTGTGATCTGAGTCCCGGACCTGGTGGCTTGCTTTCCCTTCTCTCTCTCTCTCTGCCTGTCTGGTCAAATTGAAAAATAACAACAAATGGAATTAAATAAATAAATAATTTAAAAAATAATAATTTTTAGAATAAAATTATTAAAAGTTTTTTTTGTGAGTACCTAGAAACACAAAGACCAACTAATAACAGTAAGACATTTCACAAACTAATCTTGTTATTATTTTACATGTCTTTGGGAGAATTGTAGATAAGAAAAGCAAATATAATGGTTAGATATTAGTAAAGAATTTCAGAATGCCTTTCATGAGGGACCAGCAAATGTGTAAGGTTACACTGCTGGACTCCCATGTAGTTGACCATGGTTCAAGTCCTGGGCCTAGTGGCTTAAAACTAAGGCCAGGCGCATATGCACCTCAAATCCATGGCCACCCCCTCCTACCCCTGAAGTGATTTCTGTCTCTCTGCGAGCATACATGCCCTATAGCAAAAATCTCAAAAAAAGAAAAAAATAATAATGCTTTTCATGATTTCGAGAACAAAATCCAAAAAATATAACTAGTTCGGTTAACTAAATCAGCAACTGATTGAACAATTATACCCAGAGCATACTACTTAATGGAATGAGGTCTGGAAGAATGTTCTAGTGGTATGCTATGAGGCTAAGATGAAGATACCCAGGATATGTTCCTCAGCTTTGAAGATGACATGAGATTGCAAAGGATAACAAAAACACTGGATAACAAAATAAGGATCCCAAAGGATCTGACATTTAACAAGAAGAAATGTAAGAGATAAATGTAAACATTCCATAGTGAATTCCAAAACTACTCCATAGCATAGAAGAGAGAAAGATGCATCTGTAGAACATGCTTAAAGGGTTTAGGGATTTTCATTTTAGTATCACTTTAATACATTAAGCTTATGTGGAGTTAAGCTGCATTAATAGAACCACAATATTAAGATCTAAAGAGGAGAATTCTTGCTTTGCTCTCCAAATGTCATACTACATCTGGAGTACAGATTTTGGTTATAATCCTTTAATGGGGATCTAAACAGACCATAATACCAGATAAAGAGAAGAAATTAAAATCTGCCTTATGTGTAATGGAACTGAGAGTACTGAATCTAGAAAAAAGGAGATCTGAAGATTATATATAAAAAACAAGGGATAAACATTACTCAATACTAAAAATAATGTAGTAGGGGCCAGCAGGTGGTGTGATACTTAAGGGCACTGGATTCCGACATGGTCAACCAGTTTGAGTCCCAGACCTGGTGGTTTCCTTTCTCACTTTTCTTCTCTCTCTCTCACTCTGTCCCTCTCTGATGAAATTAAAATAAACATATAAAGTTAAATAAAGTAAGTCTTAAAAAAAAAAGTAGGGTTACTTGTGGCTTAAACAAATTTATACATACAAACTGCTTAGAATACTGCCTATTATTTAGTAAGCTCTTACTAATTATTATCTCGTTAGTAGTGAATTTTTTGAGTTGTCTGCTTGAAACTTATTCAGCTTTCTATGTTGTACTACCGCTCATTACTAAATAGGAAAATCCACTCTATATTGCTGACATCTCAGGCAACATCAAGCATTTCAGAAATTTTGATTCTCAAATCAAGTTAATGAGTTATTGGTTAGATTTTTACTGTAAAGAGAAATCATACAGTGATAAATACTATATGATAAAAATAATTTTGCCAGAAGGCAAGTGTACCTGCTGGAAAGAGAGACAGAGAGGGAAAGTGAGAAAGTTCCTCTCATGTGGCATAGTCACACTACAATCTCTTCTGTTCCATTTCTCCCTCCTTTTTTGATTTTTGGGCACCCAAACACATACACCTGACATGTATTTCAACCTGGTCCAAGACCAGAACTGTGTGGACGGTCATGAGGGGTCCAACCATGGCCTAGCCAGTGATAAATGCTGTATTACACTCATTTTCATGTGTCCAATTCAAAATGGTAAATTGTTATGATATGAAAGTATGATGCAACATATATTTGTAAATATATACATACAAGTATGTACACATAACTTACACACACCCTATATGTGTATGTATACACACACATATATATACACATACACCTGTGTCTGATACACACACACACACACACACAGACACATACACACACACACACACACACACACACTTTGTGTCTTGATATCTCACACATATCCAGAAATGCAGTACAGTATAATTTTAAGGGACTAGGCTCTGGAATCAGGGTGCTTGGTTATATATTTATCTTTACTAACCAATAGCTATGTGACCTTAGGAAAGTTATCTTAAAGTCTCAGTTTTACCATTTATGAAGCACAGACAAAATAGTATAAAAAACAGTAGTAAATAAGCCTTTTAATATGCTGGCACATAAACATTCAATAATTGTTAGATGCTATTTATTATACCATTATTTGGTATTTGCCAACCAAAGCTTTCACATGACTCCCTTCCATACTAACCAAAAAAGGGAAGGAAGCTTGCTTAGTGTCAAGAAAACAAATACAACAAAGGCCAAAGTCTAATTCTCCCAGTAAGAAAAACAATAACGCACTTTCAAATTTAGTTAGTTTATTAGATTTGGATAGTTTATAAAAGACTTAATGAAGAGTGGCCAAAGACAAAAAGACAACTAGCCAAAGAGTATGCTGCCTAGATCCTTGTCTCACACACCAAAAAGGACAACACCAAAGTGGCTACTGACTAACTAAAAGTTGTTGTATAGCTCAATCTAGACTGCATATAAACAATTTTATATTCTTCAGCTCCATTCTCAAAGTGTGTGTATATGCGTGTGCATGTGTGTGTGTGTGCACTCAACAGCCAGGGATGTGAGGACCAGCAGTTGGTGTAATAGTTATGTCACTGTACAGTGACTTAAGAGAAATTCACTGTGACTAGAGGGCAGGGATAAAAAAGCAGGTGGAAGAGAAGGGGTGGGGAGAAGAAAGAGAAATTCATAAAGGCCAGATGACAGTGCAGAAATAACACAACTGGACCCACACAGGAAGTTCCCAGGTTCACATCCTAGGATCTCCCTAAACACTTGGGGCATGCATTCACCTACCCATGATACAGGTTGACTGAGATTAAAGGTGGATCATTGTGTAAAGACCATTAAGGGTCTCTCTCATGGAAGAAACACACTTTAAAAACAAGAAATTCACAGAAACTTAACTTTTTTTAAACATAGCTTTAAAATAGTGGTTCTCAAAATATAGTCCTAGGGGCCAGCAGGTGGGATGGTGGTTGGGACACCAGACAGCAAAAATCTCTCTTAAAAAATCATATACAGGGGGAACCAGCAGTTAGTGTAATGGCTATGTCACTGGACTCCCACATGGTCAACTGTGGTTCGCGTCCTGGACCCGGTGGCTTGGGACTCACGCCGGGCGCATGTGCGTGCGTGCCCAAGATCCCGAGAGGAGAATGGAGGAGAAGGGATTGCGGTGTGACCATCCCCCCTGGGGGATGATTTCTCGCTTTCTGTCTCTATGTCTCTCTCTGTCTGTCTGGCGAGCGCACACGCCCTATAGCGAAAATCTCTCCAAAAAAAAAAAAAAATTATATACAGGGACCAGCACTTAGCATAATGACTATGCCACTGGACTCCCATGTAGTCGACCACAGTTCAAGTCTCTGACTGGTAGCTTAAACTCCTGCTAGGCGTGTGTGTGTACCCAAGATCCCGAGAGGAGAACGGAGGAGGAGGGATTGTGCCATGGCCATCCCCCCTAGGGGGTGATTTCTCACTTTCTGTCTCACTGTCTCTCTCTGTCTTTCTGGTGAGCACACGTGACCTATAGCAAAACTCTCTACGAAAAAAAAAAAATACACACACACACACACAGTTTATGCATAGATCAGATACAAAAATACATCATGGCTTGCAAATGAAATAAAGAGGAATCCATGGAACAATCATTCCCCTCTGTTGCTTTTATAACAGTAGAATTTGTATAGCAGATTCTGGCACATTCCTGCCATAATTTTTGTTCTTAATTTCAGTAACATAAAAAAATACTCAAGAGTACTCCAAATCTAGGTAACTAGATTAGTCAATGTAGAATACACAGAATCTATTTGAAAAGATTTACCAAAGCAATATCATGATACTTTGCTTCTAATCATATTGTTGTTGTATAAATATAAGACAATGATGATGTTAGATAAAGTTAAAATCAAACTTTCCATAGTCCATAATTATTTCACAATTTTAGGTTGTGAAACCAAGTTAATAAAGGTCAAGTTGTGATTTTAGCATCTATTTCCTTAATTGACACCTAAGCTACAAAGCTGTTGAAATCAGCTGGGACACAATTATCTGCTACCATACAAATATAGATCACAACTAGAGCAAATAACTGGTGAAGAGAAATGAGGATGCATACAACAAAACACTTTTCTGTATAAAAATGTGATTTATAAAACTAAGAACACAGTTGATCATATTTACTCTTTTCTTAAATTTCTTTCCCACCATTCAATTTTATTTGCAGTAGAATTCAACTGATGGTATAATTTCATTAGTGAGCCTATGGAACAAGCTGGCATATTTTCCTGTTCTCTGAGACTGATATTTATCACATCTGGAGAAACAAAAGTAAAATTAGGATACAGTCATAATATGAATCATATTGTGGATTCAGCAATAACACAGAAGAAAGCAAGTTCCCAAAACTGTTACTAGACCCAGTAAAAGCTGTAAGTTATATTCCCCATCCAACGAAAAAGTGGTTGCAACAAATATGAAATCCTGTTAATTTATACAAATTAGTGTTTACAATACAATAAAAATTAGATCTTTGTTTAATATTATAGTTTTAAATCACAACAGAAATGCTTCAGAACTTAACCAAGGCAGATGAAAATGTATCACTAATACCCATCAAGAAAATCCATTTAACCCTATATGTATAAAAATTAGCTAATAGCTTCCTAGGCTTGTTAAAGTGTTGAATCAAACAAGAAACTGAGAAGATTTTGAACAGAAATCAGAAAAAGATTGATTAAAATATGTAATAAAAATAATACATAAGATTTGAATAATAATGGGAAAAACTAATTTTATCCAATAGTTTCAATACTCTCCTCTACCAAAACTTTCCCAAAGTTCTAAGCAAGTACCTAAATAGGCTAATTTTGAGTTTTACTTTCTTCTTCTGCTTAATTACTCTCCAATAAGAACACCCATAAAATGTGCCATAGTACAAATGTACAAGATGAAACCTAAGAAAGTTGTTGTGAGAATTAAATGTGTTTATATTTGTTAAGCACCTAGCAGTGTATGGTACATAGTCAACACTAAATAAATGTGGTCAACTATGTGGGAGTCTTAACCACCATGTCATCCATGGCCTCGAGTTCAAGAATTTTTTAAAATCTATTTTGTAATAGAAGCATAATGTACAATAAATAAATGAGATATGTGGCCCACAAAAATAACCCTGTAAGATATGTGATGCTTATGAAGTCCTGTTTCCTAATACCCATAATCAAGACTAATGCAATTTCCAAATCTCCATCAAGGAGACAAAATTTAACAGATAAAAATAAATTGCGATCTTTAAAGCATAGTGATCTATCTATAGAACAGAGCAAGACAAAAGTCAAAAGGAAGACTCATCTGCTTTGTTCCCAGGAAAAGGACATGATAACTGCTTAATTAATATCCAGATTCCTTTAAAAAAAAATAGGGACCAACAGATGGCATAATGGTTACATCATTAGAGTACCATGTAGTAGACCGTGGTTGGAGTCCCGGACCTGGCTGCTTAAAACTCACACTGTGTGTGTGTGTGTGTGTGTGTGTGTGTGTGTGTGTGCACGTGTGCCCAAAAATCTCAAGAGCAGAATGGAGGAGACGGGATTGTGACTTGGCCATCCCCCTGGGTGGGTGGTGATTTCTCTCTGTCTGACAAGTGCACGTGCCCTATAGCAAAAACCTCTCCAAATGGGAAAAAAAAAATCCAGATCCCTTGAAAAGTATTTTTTATAGAGAGAAGTAATTCTTAAGCTTCTACCATAACTTTGATGATGAAATATCATTCAAGATTTTTCAGGTTCCTTTTCTTTTATTCTATGATCACAAAGCCACTAGGTATTAAAAGTGGCTCCCTAAGTGCTTGGATACAGAGCAGAGTGCACTGGATTTTCAACCTGAAAATTCTGATCACTGGAAAGGGTTATCTTCTATTCCAACACAAACTGGCATTCTAATGTGAACATTCTAATGTGTACATCATTCTCTGGATTGAATTGGGTTCCTAAACTGTAAGCACACAGGAGTAAAAGTATACATTTGAACTTCTGAGGTTGGAAAAAAGAGAACACTTTCCACATTGACAACTGTTAAAATCACCTTTTGCTTTTCCCTCTCCTACCCCTAAAAATGAAAAATACAAATAAAAAAGGACTTTTTACAAACAATTAATTAATTTTATTTTATTAATTATTATTTTTTGACCTGACAGAGGCAAAGAGAGAGAAAGGGAACATGAGAAAGACAGCCACCAGGTGTGGGACTTGAACTGCAGTCAACCATGTGGGAGTTCAGTGCTTTAATCACCACAGCCACCACCACGCCCACAGGCCACAATGGCTTGCCCCAAAAGGACTTTCTTTGATCTATTAAAATTTGCTAGCCAATAACATTAAAAAAACAAATAATGATAAGTGTTGGTGAGGCTGGGGTGAAAAGAGAACTCGCCTACACTGTTGGTGGGAATGCAAATCAGTACAATCACACTGGAAAATGATACGGCGATTCCTCAGAAACCTACAAATAGAACTACTATAGGACCCAGTAATTCCACTCTTAGGTATTTACCCAAAGAATAGAAAAACCCTCAGTTGGAAAAACACTTGCATATCCATGTTTACTGCAGCATTATTTACAATTGCTAGGACATGGAATCACCCCAAACGTCCAAAAATAAATGACTGGATTGAAAAAGTTTCCTATGTACTCTATGGAATATTACTCACCATAGAAAACAATGAGACCCTGATATTCCATACAAGGTGGATGAATATGGAAGACTTAATATTAAGCAAAACAGGCTAGACCACTCAATACATACGAATGTTGTGCTCTATAGGAGAGCTGAAAGTTTGGAAGGTATAGTAGCACAGAGGGCAACTGTAGATACTAGAGATAGTAAGGATAGGGGTAGTAAGGGAGAGGGTAATGGAGGGAGGGAGGGGAATGGGGGAAGAAAAAAATGTTTGACAAAAAAATGAAAAGCTATTTCCCCTGATGATAATGTAATATAGTAATGTCTTTGTCTTGACTGATGTACATGGTATTCAGGCTGGAAAAAGCAATGTGTACACTGTAAACTTATATGTGATTAAGTGTAAATTAAAATTAAAAATTTCAAAAAAAATGCTGCCAAATCAAATTTAGACAGATTCATCTGAACAACAAAATGCCTAATTAAAATCAATCTAGAATTTAAATCAAATCATAGGAGGCATGTATACATAGCCTTATCTATATCAATGCTCTATTCCCAAATGAAAAAAAAAACAAAAAACAAAAAACTATGAAACCTCAAATTGTGTTTCCAGGCAAAACCCAGAGGTTATTTTTAAACTGCATTAGCCAGGGACATTATTTATAAAGTGGCTTGGTATATGTGACTCAATTATTCCAAGACTTTACGAAGTATTTAAGACACATAGCTGGTACAGACCAGAGTAGGAATACTTCCAATTGAAGTGTGTAAGTTTGGGACTTTGAAACATTTCAGACATTTTTCATGGGTTATTAAAAAATACTCCTTTAAAACAAGTCCCTTCCACACTAAAGTATTCAGCCTCACACGAGACTACTACAACTATAAAATTGTGTCCATTTAGGTTTCCTTTACGAATAGAAAACTCCCGCCAAAAGCTCAGTCTTTCAAATGTCTCCTATCAGTCCTAAATCAACAGGGCAAAATTCTCTTAGGACTGTGATGCGGAGAACTGCCGCCGCAACTGAAACCGTCTTCGCAACCTCAGTCTCCAGGAGACTGAAAGGCAGCGCAGACGCCTGGGCAGCCTGCAGGGAAGTCAGGGCGGCGGAGCGAACCGCGCGGTGGGGCGGTGGCGAGTCCTACCGAGGAAGAGCATTAGAAGGAATTACTCTGAGAATGTCTAAGGAAGAGGACATTCGCTATGGGGACAACAGACGTACTTCCAGACTACGTACGTTTTAAAGGGAATTTAAGTGATGGGGGTAAGAAAAAGTGACAGGAAACCATGAACCCTTCCCGGCCGGAGGATTACAGAAGTAAGAAATGGGAGGAAGAGGGAGGAAGGCTAGGACAGTAAGGCCCCAAAAGACCAGGAACTGAAACACAGTCCCCGACCTGTGAGCTTGGCCTGAGTCCGGATCTCCTATCCCTACCCGCGGAACGCAGGAGAAAAAGACCCCACTTTCCCAAGGCTGTAGACAATAACGCTTTTACAACCGTAAGGAGCCCTGCACAGGAAGATGTCGCCTCTATCCCCACCTGCTCCCGTTCATTCCTTTCTCTCTCACTCTAGCGCTAGCCGCAATGAGGGAAAACTCTGCCACAGCCTGAGCCGCCTGCAGGACGGAACAATAAAAATACCTGAGTCCCAAGAATCACGCCGGCAGCGACAGGAGGAGGAGCGGTGGACAAGGGAAGCCCGGACAGGATCCTCGCTCAGGCTGGTCCAACCCTAACTCTTACCCGCGGGGCGGGGAGCTTCCGCCCGGAAGCGGGAGAGCGTCACTTCCGCGTACGGCCTTTTCTCCTCCTCTCCTCCTCCGCCCTAACTACGTTCGTCGCGTTCTGACTTTCTCTTCCAGGAGACTTCTGGTCCTGACACCTGACGTGGACTACAAAAACCAGCAGTCATCACGGCAGATTAATTTCCGGGTCAAGAGGGCCACTGTGGGTGCATCACCATGGAAGCGATCGGTTTGATCACGTGGTGCCCCTGGTTACGCCCGGTGGCATCCGTGGGGTCTGGGGCTCAGGCCCGGCTGGGGGAGGGGGCCATTTTGCCAAAGGCTTCCTCCCTGAGTTGGAGGCGGCCTGGGAGCTGGCTGAAGGTGTTCCTTTTCTTCTTCTGCAGCTTGAATCTTGACTACAACTGGAAGGCGGGGCTCCATCAAGCCCTTCGGAGTCTGCAATGGTTCCCTCCAGTCACCACCTGACGACCCTCCATGGCGGCTGCTCCTTCCGCGCTGCTCCGGCTGCCGCCTCTTCCATCCCAATGTGCCTATCGCCTCCAGAGCCGCAGTCGTGCTTCCGCCCCAGAGACTGATGACAGTCGAGTTGGCGGCACCATGAGAGGAGAGAAAAACTATTATTGCCGTGGAGCTGCCGGGGATCACGGTTCCTGCCCCCCTACACCTTCGCCTCTGGGCTCGACCCTCTTGATGCCCGCAGAGGCAGTTTCAAGTAGCTGGTCAGGATCTGGAGGCGGGCTGTCGGGGGGAGATGAAGAGGAGACTCGGCTGCTTCAACTCCTTCGCACCGCGCCAGATCCTTCCGAGGCCTTCCAGGCTTTGCAGGCTGCTTTGCCGCGGCGGGGCGGTCGACTTGCCTTCCCCCGACGCAAGGAAGCTTTGTATCGCGCCCTGGGCCGAGTGCTTGTGGAAGGAGGTAGTGATGAAAAACGCCTTTGCTTGCAACTCCTCTCGGACGTTCTCCGGGGCCAGGGGGAGGCAGGCCAGTTGGAAGAAGCCTTTAGTTTAGCCCTTCTGCCTCAACTAGTTGCCTCCTTACGAGAAGAGAATCCAGCCCTGCGAAAAGATGCGCTGCAGATCTTGCACATATGTCTGAAGCGTAGTTCTGGACAAGTGCTGAGAACGCTTATACAGGGATTGGAAAGTACTGACGCCCGACTTAGCTCTTCCACAGCATTACTACTCCCTGTCTTACTTACTCCTGAGGATTTGTTGCTTGGCCTGGATCTCACCGAGGTGATAATATCACTAGCCCGAAAGCTTGGCGACCAGGAGATAGAAGAAGAATCTGAGACAGCTTTCTCTGCACTTCAACAAATCGGAGAGCGACTTGGTCAAGAGAGGTTTCAATCCTATATCTCACGCCTACCGTCTGCCCTAAGGAGACATTACAATCGTCGTCTGGAGTCCCATTTTGGAAGTCAGGTTCCTTATTATTTAGAACTTGAAGCCTCTGGATTTCCTGAAGACCCCCTTCCCTGTGCAGTGACTCTTTCCAACAGCAATCTTAAATTTGGGATTATTCCTCAGGAGCTTCATTCAAGATTGTTAGATCAGGAAGACTATAAGAACCGGACTCAGGCTGTTGAAGAACTGAAGCACGTGTTAGGGAAGTTTAGCCCTAGTTCTACTCCTTATTCTAGTCTTGTTGGTTTTATTAGCTTGCTGTATCATTTGTTAGACGATTCTAACTTCAAAGTGGTCCATGGCGCACTTCAGGTCCTGCATTTACTGGTTATTCGCCTTGGAGAGCAGGTACAGCAGTTCTTGGGGCCTGTCATAGCAGCTTCTGTCAAAGTGCTGGCGGACAACAAGTTGGTGATCAAGCAAGAATACATGAAAATCTTCCTCAAGCTAATGAAGGAGGTAGGTCCTCAACAGGTGCTTTGCTTACTCCTGGAACATCTGAAACATAAGCATTCCAGAGTGAGAGAAGAGGTGGTGAACATTTGTATCTGCTCTCTCCTGACCTATCCCAGTGAGGATTTTGACTTACCCAAATTGTCTTTTGATCTTGCCCCAGCTCTTGTAGATAGCAAACGCAGAGTACGCCAAGCAGCTCTAGAAGCCTTTGCTGTGTTGGCATCATCAATGGGCTCAGGTAAAACCAGCATCCTTTTTAAGGCTGTGGATACTGTTGAAATGCAAGATAATGGAGATGGAGTGATGAATGCTGTGCAGGCCCGGTTGGCCAGGAAAACCCTTCCAAGACTAACAGAACAGGGATTTGTGGAATATGCTGTACTCATGCCATCTTCTGCCCAGGGTAGGTCAAGCCATTTGGCACATGGAGCAGATACAGACTGGCTTTTGGCAGGTAACAGAACTCAAAGTGCGCACTGTCACTGTGGTGACCACACAAGGGATAGCATGCAAATGTATGGATCTTACAGTCCAACTATTTGTACCCGAAGGGTATTAAGTGCAGGAAAAGGAAAAAATAAATTGCCATGGGAAAATGAGCAGCCTGGAATCATGGGAGAAAACCAGACCTTCAATTCTAAGGATGTAGAGCAGGTATGCTTATCTAATTTTCTTGAGTTAAAACTGCACATATTTAAAATGAAGATATGCCTGTCATGATTTAAGGGTAAGGATGCTTGAGGGTTGATATAGTTTGTTTTAAATCTGAATGTTGGTACGGGTATCTACCATAATGGTAAAAGTCACATAATATGATTTAACAAGCTTCCTGTTTGATGGATTTGGTTAAAGTTGAGGCACAATGTAATATTAAAAAATTCCAAGATTTCAATTTTGGCTTGCCATTTTGGCATTTCAGTTATCAGAATCATACAACAAATATGATCTAAGAGATGCCAAATAGGAGCTGGGATTATATATATAAATATGTGCTAAGAATGAAGATGAGATCACTACCACAGTTTAGGAAAAGGATCCGTAAACCGGAAGTAACAGATTTCTTGAGTGCTAAAGTAGAAATATATACAAACAATCTTTACCCACCGTTTTGAGCATCCACTAATAATTCTTAATTATATCATTTGTTTATTGGGTAATACAAAAAACAATTTTAAAATTCTAATGTTTCTGTATTTGTTACTTGGAATTCTTTTCAATGTTTAATAAGTAAGCACATCTTAATTTTTTGATGCTTAAAATTTTAAAGTTTTTTTGATGCTAAAATTGTCCCAAATTCAACCAGTGGCTGGCTCCTGTGTCCTTTTGGCATGACTCTTTAATCCTTGAGCACTTAAAACATGATGCCTAGACTTACCTTGTCCTTTTTTGCTCCAGCCCTAGAATCAGCCATTTTCTTAAGAGTCCCAGTACTGCCTTTATAGTGGGAAGTAGTATTTAAAAACCAAAGTCTGGGTATAGCTTTGTTCGTTGATATTTCTTGCTCTTAGGGATTGGCACTTCCAGTGGAGTAACATTTCCTTTCTTTTTTAAAATGAGTTTATACTGATAATTCCAACTCAAATCTAGCATTACAGGGCTCTTTGTCACCTTGCTTTATTCCATATTTAAATCTTTTTTCACTCAAAATAAATCCTTGGTTCCTGACATCAATTATATTTATTCATATGCTGTATCTTACAGTATACTAAAAGTTGCTAGACCAATAGCAAAACTGCCTACCTACTAAATAATGTTCAGATTTCTCCCCAAATTTCACCCCAGTTATACTTATTTTGCTCAAAATCCTTCAGTGGCTCCAACATCTTTTAATATAAAGTAAATAATGGCCCCACCAATATAATAAATTACATTAATATAATTAAGTAATGGCCCCATTTCCCCACACTCCTAGTTCCCTGACTATTTCCACAAAAAAAAGGTCCCATCCACATACCTTGTCCATCTGCTTTTAACTCGAGTCTTCTGACCTTTACATGTGTTGGTCACTGCCTAGATCACCCTTCCACATTGATCTGTCCTCTTTTTCCAGATAACATCAATCTTTTTCTTATCCTTTGGTCCATCTTAGATCTTTTTGTTACCACACGCCTCATCTCATCCTAAGCTTCTCCCATCAGAGTGCTTATTATTACATTGAACTGAAATGGACTCTTCATAAGCCTTTTCTGTTTCACTACTATACTGTTAGCTCATTGAGAACAGAGAGTGTATCTTTTGAATATTAGTATCTAGAGCTTAGCACACTGCTTGGTGCATAGGAAGCACTTAAAGATGTTTGTCCAGTGACTAAAAGTATTCTCAAGTGTAGATGATTTGTTTAATAAAGATGTACCTTGTTTTTAAAAAATAACTTTGGACCGTCTAGTAGCATTGCGATTAAGGTAGCTGGATCCCACATGGCTGACTTGCACAGTATGAGTCCTAAGCTCAGAGGCTTGGAAAATGTGCTTACACACACTTATGTGTGTGTAAGTGTCCAAAATCCTGAAAGAAGAAATGAAGGAGAAGGGATTGCAGTGTTTGCATCCCCCATGGAGGGTTGCTTTCTCATCTTCCCCCTCACTCTTTCTTCTCTCTCATCAGTCTCTCTCCTGCCAATGCTCTCACCCTCTAGCAAAAAAAAGAAAAGAAAAAAAAAAAAGACATTAAAAAAACTTTAAAACATACTTGGAATATGATGTTATTAACTATTCTGTGCTTGTAGTTACTAGTAGTCATCATGTATCATTGATGGAACCAGCATAAGGTACTGGGTTTCCTGTGTCTCATGTGGATATCAGTGAAGATTTTGTTATTAAAAGTACATTTAAGAGGGACCAGCAGTTGGCATAATGGCTATGTCAATGAACTCCCATGTACTTGACCGCGGTTCGAGTCCTGGACCCGGTGACTTAAACTTGTGTCAGGTGCATGTGCGTGTGTGCCCAAGATCCCAATAGGAAAATGGAAGAGAAGGGATTGCAGCGTGGCCATCCCCCCTGGTGGGTGGTTTCTCACTTTCTGTCTCTCTCTCTCTGTCTTTCTGGCAAGTGCACGTGCCCTGTAGCAAAAACCTCTCCAAAAAAAAAAAAAAAAGGACATTTAGGAATGTGAAGGTACTTTTTGGTCCCATATTCTTATATGTTA